TAATCTTATTAAGTCTATATATGGTCTTTGGAGTGTAAATTCTAATTAATCGGAATTCTTTACGCGAAATCTGCTATTCAAATGCGTTTCGCTAATCTCAATCTAAATTTTAAACCTTCAAAGTAACTTATTATCTAAAGTACATATTTATAAATAAAGTAAAAATAAAGTAAAAAGTTTTGAAGAAAAATATAACACTTAATCTGAGATATTTTCTTCTTTTTTTTTATTTCTGAGTGAATTATTATTTGTAAAATTTAAACTACCGTTTCTTTTTCTTTTTTTACTTTTTTTGACGTTTGATAATTTCATGTCAACAAGTTTAACCCACTCATCGCAGGTACCTTTTATTTGATAGTTAATGATTCCATTCTATTCTTTAGTAACTACATTCGTAGCATTCACCATTATCACGTAGCCATTACGATCATGAACTGCTTCAGCGAATTTTTTTATAAGACATTTCACTCCATGAATTCTTAAAGAAGTTCCCATTATTATCAAACAATCGGCTTTATCTTGATCGTATGTTGCAATTTCTCCAATTTATAATTCTTAGTTGTCCAATAGTGTGTTTTCGTTTTTTTTTTTGTAAATTTCTTTTATATTCTATTTATTAAAGTCGTTAATAATCTTAAACCTTGGTTTTGTCGGTTTAATTCAATAATAATGATGCTAGTATTTACCTCTTTTTTCTCATTTAGGGCAATTTGGAATTTCACCTTTCGTGAAAATATCACAATATTCTTGTGTAAAAGAATAGACATTTGTACAAACGTTACATTGTAAATTTGCCAATGTTCCATGCAATTGAACTACTTGTGCTTGGCAACGTTTAAATTTTTTCAAAATTCCAAAATTCTAATCCTGCTTTTTTCTTCGAGATTATCTATATTTTGTGTATATACTTTTTTTTAATTTTTTCATGTCTGCCAATTTTTTTATAAACAAATTTGTTTAATTCACCCATGAAATTATAAAATGCTTTAACAGCTTTGTCAGTTATATGTAAATTAGTATCAAATAAGTCTCTGACCGAACTAAAGCTACCCGGATAATTTTGTTTTATCATTTCAAAAAGACCATTTGAACTTCTAATACCAGCCCCAGCAATAATAATGAGATTTTTAGAAAGTGCAACGTTTCGAACTATATTTGAGAGTAGTGGACTATTTTTAAAGTCAAGATTGAGTTGAACTACATTCGAGACTAGTGAATTGTTTTTTTAAGTCGTGTTTGAGTGCCATTAATTTTTTGTAGAGTCTGAAATACATCTTTTTATATCTTTTACTAAGAATTCTTTTGTTTTTTTTGTTATGAATATTCGGTCTTTTTGTCCGAATGATTAATCCAGAGGTTAGCTATTTGTAGTTTGTTTTTTAATCTACAGAGTCAACTTTGGAATAAGAAAATTCGATTTATAAATCCTTTGTAAGAATGGATTAGTTCGGTTTTAGCATCAAATAGTAATTGAATATATATTGATCCGCGTTATTATTCTCATATTATTATATATTCGTGAGTTAAATTCTTGCAAAAAATTTTTATGCTAAATAATATTTATTAATAGAAATTCTCTTTTGTAGAATTCTTGTTTTAGATTACGCGATAAGTTATTAATTTAAAAATATATAAATGGTTAATCATATTTATAAGCATGACAAAGAGAGAGTTATTATTTACGCGTGTTAATGTAATTTGTATTAGTTAATGTATTTTTAAATAAATACTTATAAAACAAAATGTCTTGTTGCTTAGGCGCACGCATTCGGCTTTCATCCGAATGAGAATAAAGAAAATTCGATTTTTACATTCGTTAACGCCTTTTGTCCAAAATGGTTAGTCTTTTCAAATCTTTGTAAATAAGAAAATGGTTTTAAATTCTTTGTCCGAATGGTTAATTCTTTGTCAAGTATTAAAGATTTTGAAAGCAAACCTTTACGCGTAAGAATTCCAATTGTAGTACAGAAATCAACCATTTATAGATTTTAAATTAATAACTTTTCGCGTAATCTGACCGAAACTAGAACAAGCCTGAACAAAAATTTTTGAGTGGTAGAATGAAAAATTTTTACTTATCATTACAAACCGGTTTTTTGTCCGAATGGTTTATTAAATCCCTCTTTGTTAAAACTTCACTAATCGAAAGAATTCAAGAAATAAAACCTTTGAGACAAATAAACATTCTAAGTTTTCATATAAAAAAAACATCGGGTAACATAGAATATGAAACTTTAAACAATGATGATTTCCGTTCATTTTCATTGGAGGTAATTTCGCTTTTAAATGATGTCTTTTTCATTTTGAAGTTGTTCAATTGCATAATTGATATCCTCTTTGGAAAATGCAAATCCAAAAATTTGAAGAAAAGAATTCATTATTTTTAATACCTACTGTCACTTCTGGAAATGAAAGGAATACAAAATAATATTTAAGAGAGAGCCTTAGCAAGATTGTCCAATAGCATCCACAATTTACGTTAAAGAAAATATAGACATAATATTATAGACAAAATAATAAATAATCGAATAAATACAAGACAATCAAAAATTAGAATCGACAACGAAAATTAAACTTTAAATTATCAATTTAATGCGTTAAACTTATAACACTCACTTATTGAATAAGCATAATTTTAATTGACTTATTCTCCCATTTTTATAATTGATTTTAAAAGTATATTAAATTCTTAACAACACACTGTTTGATAGACTTTATAATTGATATGAACCTTTGAACTTTGCTAATATTGCTAATAAATTAGTTTAAAACGAAATCTAATATAATTAACGATGATTTTTCACGCTTAAAATCTAAATACATATGTTTGATAAATAAAGGCGCCGGCGAATCATCCCAATGGCAAACATGTTGTAACTTATATAATTATTTTATGATCAAAGAATAAACAAGCATACAAGTTAATTTAATGTAAAAAAAAAAAAATGATTGCTTAAATATCCGAAAAGGATAATTATATTAATGGTACATATTATTACTTTATGAACAATTTTATTTAAAGATTCTTTAAGATCAAAAGGCCTAATAGATTATTGAACTAAAATGATTTTTATGTCACCTGCGCCAATCACCTAATACAAATCGTGCACCACCTGCACCAACAACCCTAATTTTAATAAAACTACGTATTGCCACAAAGAATATATATATAGTCATTGTATTTCTTAAAAAACGCTACAACCATGCCATTTTTTATCAAGTGCCTTCGTGTTAGAAATTTAAATCTTTTAATGCCTTAATCAGATCTTTAATATTATTATATTTTTTTGTGTTATAAGACATAATGCTTTTTATGTCACTGAATTTTTCTAAGTGACTCATTAATATTGTAAGATTATTTTTTAAATCTTTTATCGTTGAATTTGGGTCTTCAATGCAATCTTCCGCATTATAAATATCATTGCTTAGCTTTAACATTCCTATCATATGCTCCTGTTCCATTTGTTCGACATAACCTTCGAGTTCATTAAAGTGGCTGATAATTATTTTACGTTCAGTTGAATTGATATTTGTTAATTCTTTTATATTAATATTATTTGTTACAACGAAAATTCCAATCTCTTTAGTGGATTTTCGAGTTTCCATAGTGTTTATAAATTCTTTATATGCTTTTTTAAGGTTTGCGATTTAGCTTGTACAATAATTTGTATTCCATTTTTATCACCAATAAGATCAAGACCTCCATCTCCTGTGATTCTATAATTTCCAATTTGTGCTAATCTATCAGATAGATTAAAAAATCTGAAATTTGAATTTATTGGATGACTATCAGAAAGCGTTATATGATATCCTTTACATTTTAGAAAATTATAAACTTCAATTTCAAAGTTTCTTCCGTTTGTATATTTTTTATCAAGCGATATAATAGAATAATTTTCAATAGTATCATTGTATTATATAATTATTTCACCTTTTTGAGATTGCATTTTAATTAAGAATGATAATAAATTTTAATTCTGTATTTATACATTCATTTTTAAGTATAAAACTATATAAATTTTCATTGGAAACAGAATTATATATACTACTACATTAAATTAGAATTACATAATACTGTATAACAGTCGTTTGACTGATGTTTATTCTAAATTTCTTTTTTCATAGAATAATTATTAAGAACTAGAGTTCTTTTCTAAGACACTATGTGATTTTCATAGAATTACGTTTACGTGTCATTTATGGTATGCATTTATTTATGTTAATTGATATTCGTGATCACTAATGTTATATACCTCTACTATATTTAATAATGTTATATGCCTCTACAATATTTAATAATGTTATATGCCCCTACTATATTTAATAATGTTATATGCCCCTACTATATTTAATAATGTTGTATACTCCGTGTCTGATCTTACCTCGGTGTACCAAATTTAATATATTGAATTTATTGACACCGATCCCCGTGATTAGTGTTACGTTCTGGGCCATCATATGATTAATCGACGGGGCTCACACTAGTACGAAATAAACAGCTTTAGTAGTGTAAATAATCTTCATTTATAAAATAAAAATGCAAAATATGCTTAGCAAAAGACTACACATAAAGAAAGCTAACTATAAACAAATAAAAGAAAATTACCTAATCTATTATGGCACTTCAAGATTAATGATTTCGGAATCTATCGCGGTATAAATTTGTTTAGAATGATATTAATATAAAGTAAACAAGAACTTATTTATATTTACCCTGAATATCTATTTGCATGGATGTCTCTGGAATATCATATTTGCTAATAGATTGACAAGTAGATTTAGCATCTTGATGCTTATGTGAAATCGTTAATAGTGTAGGAATAATTTTATCTGCTTCTAAAAATTTATTTTTAATTTTAATTTGTTCCTTATTTAGTTCTTTTTCTTCTTTATTAAGAATTATTTCCCATTCTTGCAATTGCTCATAAACCTCTTTTGCAGTTGGCCGTTTTGTCGGATCATTATCCATACATTGTTTTGCAAGTTTTATATAAACATCAGGTGTTTCTAAGCCAAATTCCGGCCGTAATCCGTTGATTATATTAAATTTAAAACTAACTGTTTTATGAGATATATTTTCAAAGGGTAGTTTACCAGTTGATATTTCTGACATAATTACACCTAAACTATAAATATCTGATTCTTTTGTAGGCTGATTTCCTGACAATAATACTTCAGGTGCAGAAAAAGATACAACACCATATACTTCTTTATTCGTAGTAGATTCATTTACTTTTCTAGATAGTCCTAAATCCGAGATTTTTGGTTCCACATTTATTTTATCTCCTATATTTAATGAAATTACTGCCACTTTATCACCTATAAGATAAGGAATATTTATAATATTTTTGGTGCTAATCATAAGTATATTTCTGCTGTGAAAATCTCCATGAACATAACTTTGATGAATAAAATCTAAATTATCAGAAATTGAACAAGGTATTTTTATTTTTTGCTTCCAGTCAAGATTTTTAAAATTTGTTGATAAATATTGCCGCAAATCTCCTTTATCTGCATATTCGTGAACCATTAAATATTCACTATTAGCGGAGTTATAAGTTATTCCATATATTTCTATCCCATATTTGTCTACACTATATCTGTTAAGTTGACATTCATAATGTATTTTAAACTAATATGATTAAATTAAAATCATTATTAATATCTGATTTATCTGAAATTTGCAATAAATTGATTATTTCTTTTTACCTCATTAAAAAATCCTAACGGTACATTCGGAATTCCAGTTAAGCTTTTAAGTGCTACTGTGCATGGTTCGCGAGAAAATAATACATTAATGTTTGTATCAAGTTTATATGTTCGTTTACCATCAATCCAAGTTGCAGAATAAACAGTGCTAAAACCACCTTGACCAATTTGTTCTACATTTTCTAATTTGTTATAAGGTATAAATTCGATTACTTTATGGTAATATTTAGAATTTATTTGTGAACTTTTTATAAATTCATCTATTTCTGAATTTCCACTAGTCCATTTTTGACATATTTGATAATCACACGAATGACAATATAAAAATCCTGTATTATATTTTTTACAATTTGGACAGGTTCCAAACCTTAAATAATTCATGTCTGTATTATATGATTTAATTCCGAATGATTTATTTAAATCTGAAAGTGATTCTTTATGTCTGCCCATGAGTCGAAAGGTTTCTCCACGAGTATTTAAGGCTAATACATTATTTGGATCAATTTCTAATAATCTATTTAAATCTGCAAGTGATTCTTCAAATCTATTAAGCGATAAATATACAACGGCACGATTATTTAAGGTTAATAATTGATTTGGATTAATTTCTAATGATTTGTTTAAGTCTTCAAGTGATTCTTCATATTTGTTCATTCGTAGATAAGTTGTTCCACGATTATTTAACCATTTTGCATTATTTGGATCAATTTCTAAACATTTACTTAAATCTGCAAGTGATTCTTCAAATTTACCAAGCATTGAATATGTAATTCCACGAGAATTTAAGCCTGCTAGGTGATTTGGGTTAATTTCTAATGATTTATTTAAATCTGCAAGTGATTCTTCGTATCTGCCAATTCGATAGTAAGTTGATCCACGATTGATAAATGCTATTGCAGAATTTGGATCAATTTCTAACGATTTATTCAAATCCGCAAGTGATTCTTCATATCTATGCATATTTTGATAAGTTAATCCACGATTACTTAAAGCTGCCGCATTATTTGGATTAATTTCTAAACATTTACTTAAATCTGCAAGTGATTCTTCATATCTGTCCATCAGTTGATATGTCAATCCACGGTTAATTAATGCTGCTGCATTATATGAATCAATATCTAATGATTGATTTAAATCTTTAAGTGATTCTTCATATCTGCCTATCTCTCGATAAGTTGCTCCACGATTAATTAATGATAGATTAAAATTTGGATTAATTTCCAATGCTTTATTTAAATCTTCAAGCGATTCTTCATATCTATGCATATGTTGATAAGTTAATCCACGATTATTTAAAGTTGTTGCATTATCTGAGTCAATTTCTAATGATTTATTTAAATCTTTAAGTGATTCTTCATATTTTTCAATTTGAGAATAAGTTAATCCACGATTATTTAAACCTTTTGCATTATTTGGATCAATTTCCAATGATTTATTTAAATCCGCAAGTGATTCTTCATATCTGTGCATATTTTGATAAGTTAATCCACGATTATTTAAAGCTGTTGCATTATTTGGGTCAATTTCTAGTGATTTATTTAAATCTGCAAGTGATTCTTCATATCTGCGCATATTTTGATAAGTTAATCCACGATTATTTAAAGCTATTGCATCATTTGAATCAATTTCTAATGATTTATTTAAATCCGCAAGTGATTCTTTGTATCTACCCATTTCCCTATAAGCTTCTCCGCGATTACTTAAGGTTTCTGCATTATTTGGGTCAATTTCTAATGATTTATTTAAATCTGCAAGTGATTCTTCATATCTGCGCATATTGTGATAAGTTAATCCACGACTATTTAAAGCTGCTGTATTATTTGGATCAATTTCTAATGATTTATTTAAATCTTTAAGTGATTTTTCATATCTGCGCATATGTTGATAAGTTAATCCACGATTATTTAAAATCATTGCATTATTTGGATCAATTTCCAACGCTTTATTTAAATCTTCAAGCGATTCATCATATCTATGCATATACTGATAAGTTACTCCACGATTATTTAGAGCTAATGCATTATTAGAATTAATTTCTAATGATTTATTTAAATCCTCAAGTGATTCTTCATATCTGCGCATATGTTGATAAGTTGATCCACGATTATATAAAGCTTCTGCACTATTTGGGACAATTTCTAATAATTTATTTAAGTCTTCAAGTGATTTTTTATAATTGCGTATGTATGAATAAGCTGATCCACGATTATTCAAAACTACTGCATTATTTGGGTCAATTTCTAATGATCTATTTAAATCTACGAGTGATTCTTCATATCTGCCTATCTGGAAATAAATTTCTCCACGATTATTTAAAACCATTGCATTATTTGGGTCAATTTCTAATGATTTATTTAAATCTGCAAGCGATTCATTGTATCTACCTATCCGTCGATAGGTTTCTCCGCGAAAAAACAGCAGCATTGCATTATTTGGATCAATTTCAACTAATGTATTTAAATCGGCAAGTGATTCTTTATACTTATTTATCATGAAATAATGCCGACTGCGTTCCTCTAATATATTACGAGTTGTTAAAAATTGATTTAATGCTTTCGCATGATTTGGTTCAATTTTTAATAACATATTTAAATCTTTAAGTGACTCTTTATATCTGTCCATCTTTTGATAAACTAATGCACGATTATGTAATGCCGTTGTGTTATTTGGATTAACTTCTAATAATTTATTTAAATCTGTAAGCGACTCTTCATACCGACCCATCTCTCGATAAGTTAATCCACGAATTCCTAATGTAGCTAGATTGTTCGGTTTAACTCGTAACGATTCATTTAAATTTGTAAGTGATTCTTTATATTTGCCTATCAAATAATAAATTAATCCACGGTCACTTAATGCTGCTGAATTATTTGGTTCGATATCTAGCAACTTGCTTAAATCCGCAAGTATATCTTCATATCCACTCATATTGTTAATTGTTAACGGGGTGTTGGCCTTTTGATTTATCAGGGATATAAATCTTTAACCCTAACTCATGTAATTAATTGCTTTTTAAATCGCGAAAAGTTTTTTTATCAAAATTTTATTCTCCGAATTTCAATAACAACAAATGCTTGAAGTGTACTGTTGAGATAATGTGCCCTCTTAGCGGCTATGATTGAATATATATTTTATGAAAGAATAAATGTACGTGTAACAACCTGTTATTATTTGCAACAACCCCGAAAAATTACATGCGTGTAATATAACACATAATTAATAAAATCATTTATACCAGGAACGTAGTGAAGCGAAGTGTATGGTTTACAAGCAAGTTTCTGTGTTCGAAATCTCGAATTCTATTGGACAGCGTGATCTATAGTTGCTGCCGTAATTGCTGAATTACGGCAGATGCCGTAATGCCGTAATGCCGTACATATACCGAAAGCACCTGAATGCCGTAAATGCCGTAAACCATAATGCCCATAATGCCGTAATGCCGTAATGCCGTAATTGCATTTTTTCTGAAAATCAATTACGGCAGCAATTATAGCGTGATCGTTGCATGTGCATCCTTTTTTTGGTTATGCCTTTATATAGTTATTCGAATGAACGTACGTAATAGCTGTACAATTGAATTTGTATGCTACTGTAATTACATTAATATAAAAGAATACAATATCGAATACGTTTAATTCTTAAGTTGCTTTTCTGGTTAATTTCTTGTGGCTATGCGTACAAATATATCTGTTACACCTTGTCATTTTCAGCAATTAATTTAAGAGTACGTATGTATGATTATTAGAATGCATTCGATTTTATGAACATCACACTAGATTGTGAGATTTATTCCAAAAAAAGGTTATGGCTATACAGTACACCAGTTACATTTTATTAATTAGATCGATCTTTAAATACGTATTGTGAGCAGGGAAATGACTGCGACTCGGTCGCTCAACAATACAAAAAAACTCGCGTAACCAAAGGTAAGTAACCTTTCAAAAGAGGTGCGTTAGATTAGGCTGAGGGATGTTAAGGCTTGGGTTACTTGGGACAAGCGTCCGGAAGGTTTGGTCACGTGAGCAAGAGGTACAACGAATAACGATTTATTGGGGAGTGTGTTAGCGAAGCAATGTTATTGGGTCACGTGGATAAGAGGTTAAATGAACAACTTATTATAAGTTGAATTGATTTTAGGACTTAGGGTGGTAGCGTTATTAATGTGAGCATAAAATTGGGACTTTATTATTTAGCAAAGGCGAGACTTAATTCTCTCAAGGGCCATTCCAGCCTTTATTTATAATATATTTTTCTTAAAGATACATATTGCATTTATTAAACATATCCCCTATATCCCATATATTTCACATAGGTCGCATTCGTTATATGTGTCGCTTGCGTCGCATGCGACATATGTAATGAATACGACGTATGCGACTTGTCCCACCAGTTTGTGTTCCAGAAGGAACATGACCAGTTAATCACGTTACTTATCACGCCTTAATCCCTGGGATACCCATATCAAATAACTGATCTTCATACCCGCGTCAAACGTGATAAGCCGCAGCTTATCCGAATTACGTTGTTGAACCTCACAGTATATATGCACGAGTACATGCTCTTTTTTTTGTAAGCACGATACTGAATCGAGAATTTTCTTACAATTGATCTGTGATTGAAAATATGCATATTTAATTTATGTTAAAATCTTCACGAAGCATTATAATTAATAATATCGACCTCAACAATGCTAATGTCAGCATAATTAAACCTTCTAAAAAAATGTTATCAACATTAAAAACAACAAAACCAAATAACATAATCAAATAATAAATTTATAGCAAACTGATATACAGTATACTGTATATAAATTTCTATCCATTTAGTAAAACAAAAAAAAAAAATTATTGATCCCTAAATAATCTATTCGAATAATTTAGTATGTGAGTTAATTGAAATAGATAAAGAATAAATATTTAAGTAGATAAATTTCAAATCTACTTAGTTTCTTTAAAATGTTATCAGAATTAGAACAATTTTTATATTTGGCATTCTTGTCCGGACTAGTCAAAGAATGTTGTGCAGTAGTTTATTAATTCAGTTGCTAATATTAGTAAATTATTTTTAATCTAAAACAAAAACTTTTATTTTAGAAAAAAAACCATCAGAAATGATTTATAAGATAATACATTAGATAAAACAACATATACAATTTTTAGAAATAATGATATATTATTAGAACAAATTGAAAATTCTTTAGTATATTCTCAATTATCTAATAATAAAAAACATTAAATTAGATTAATTGTTAATTTGTCTGATATAATTTTTGGTAGATAAGATAATGTTGAAGAAACATCTACAATAATGCAAAGAATTAGTAATATAGATTTTGATCCTATTTCTGTTATAGAAAGTGAATTATGATTAACTAATACTAACTTTTTATGAATTAGTTATTCAATAAAAAAATATATATTATATAAAATATAATATATACATTTTATAAGGTTACTTGTTATTGTATAAATATAAAAAAATGATATATAAATTTCAATAGGCCTAACCAGTAATGCATTTCTCATGTTAGGCAGTTGGTTTTGGGTTCTACAACTGTTTGTAATAATTTACTGACTAAGTGATATCTAATAAAAAATTTTATATAAAATTTTATATATTTTAGTAAAAGCAATTTTTATTCATATTAAATACTAATCATGTGATATTTAATTATAGTAATTTTTACAGATCAATGTTATACATATGTATAAAAATTATAAATTCTAACTTCACTGATTTTAAATCTAACTAATCAAAAATATGAACTAACAGACAATTTGGAGTCACAAAAATCTTTCTCATAATTATAATAACTCCAAGACTATAAGTATCTAATATTTGAGTATCCAGTTGGCCTATCAAAACTTCAGATGCTATATACAACAGAATTTTTTCTTCCTTTACTTTTCTAGAAATCTGGAATCCAAGATATATGTGTTATATAAAACATCTTATAAAATATTTTTATTATATAAATCAAGTTCTAGCAAATAAATTAACTTGAGATCTAAAGTTATACAGTACAAGAGAATCAATTTATCATTTCATTACAATTGTGATGCTTGTACAGAATTTTGCATAATGAATCTTTTAATGCAAATTTCATAACAATAATATAAACATGATTATTTCTTCATATTCCTTTACATTCCAAGAATAAAGGATATGATCAATCCAAAACTTTAAAGCACACAAACCCAAAACTAGTATGACTCATCATGTTCATTACCTAACAATGTGCATTCAAATGTGCAGTATTATGTTAACAACATTCACTAAATCTATATACTAGCACTACTAATTCTACTAACCCTAGTCTCAACATCAAGTACACTGACATATATAAACAGGCTACATAACGAAGTTTAGAAATTCCAAAAGCAAAAAAGTAAGTAATGGAGCAATAGAAAAAAATTTAGGCAACAGAAAAAAAACAAATTACTTACCTGACACTGGTGACAAAGAAACATCACTAACGACGATGCTAATGACAGCTAGAAACATTCTACAATGATGAAATCAGCAATAAAAAAGGCACCACCAAATAGACGACACCAACGATGACTACTGCAGTACTATTTTCAGTTTTTCAAAAAAAATGAAAATTGGTTAGCGTGTGTTGGAATTTTATATAAAGGTTTATAATCAAACGTGTCAAACAGTAAATTATAAGTAAGCGAAAATAATTTTTATAAATAGTGTAACAGTCTTTAATTAATGCTGTAATAGAGTCACATGATTATTTCTTTGAGACTTTGCCGTAAGTTTCGGCCAGTCCCAAATATAGCTCGGGTTACTTGGGATTCTACTAAGTGCCAAACCACCGGGTTTGGGCTACAACCCTACTTTTGGGTGACCCTTCGGGTGACCCTTAGGGTGACCCACAGGTTGACCAACTCGGCTCAACCCAGGTCACATCACTAATTTGGAGTGGCCTTACTATAATAAAAAACCTTTTATTATCTAATTTAGATAAGTAAACTACGTATAAAAAAAATTTAGTTGCAGCTTCTTTTTTATAAATGTTACACATTGAAGATTCTTAATATTTACCTAGCCAAGTTTGATATCTTTTATTTCAATTCTAAAGTTTTTATAATTTACAATTTTTTATTCATAAAGTAATCGTCGAGAAACCCTCAAATAAAAGTTAAAGATATTCTAATTTTTTAAATAAAAATTTCTCGATAACAACATAATTTTTTTTAAACTTCTGCAAAAGTTATATAATTAAAATAAAAAAAAATTTTGAATATAATCTTAAGTTTCGGTATATAGTTTCAGGTTTCGATTTTCTGAAACCTGAAAATATTGTGTTTCAGATTAGCGTTTTTTGAAATTAGTTTTATGTAGGTTTCGTTTCGGGTCACATGCATAGATTGGTGCATCTTTTGAGATCTTACTGGGATTGTGTTCTTTAATAAATAGTCCCGTTAATTAGTCCATCCAATCTGCCCTAAAGACCAAATGGGATTATCGTTAGTAAAAAAAAATATAATTTTACATTTTGCCTATCTTTCAAAGCATCATCCTTTCGAATTTTGACCAAATTAATATTTTTTGAGATCCTTCTCATACATTTCACAAAGTACATGATAAATTAGGGACATCAAATGTTTTTTACTACATAATTAAAAACAGGTGATTAATATAATCTCGATATATTTAAATCCAGATTTAACGACTTGGACTTTAATCATCACTTGTTAAAAGTTAAAATTAGTTTTTTTACCATCTCTGGATAAAATTACAATTAATTTATAATGATAAGGTTTTCATTTTTTTATTTAAAAGTTAATAAATTTTATATTTAATTTCTATCCTTAATTATATATTGTTAATAAAAATTCAAATCAATAATAATAATAATAGTTTTAATAGTTCAGAGATGTTGATTAATAGTGCAATAGATTGTGTTAATATTAAAAAACTTTTTTTAGCAAATAGGCATGACGTTGCAGAGGAGGCGAACATGTTCCTTTTGTGAGGTCAATCAATTTCGCGGTCATCTTCAATGTAAAAAATTCAGCTTGAAAAGTATGTGCGCACTTATATGATCACCTATTAAAATTAGAAAATTTCATGTGCGCTTCAGCACATGCGCACGTTCAATTTTATACACTGATCATCTTGCGCAAATTTCGTGAAATCGCATTTCATCATCTCACGCGATGTACAGCAAAAACCGATAAATTCCTTTTTCTTTATTATTTATAGCGATAGGGTATTGTAATTAACGTAACGCACCCACCCGATCGACCAATCATAATTCAAGACTCCTTTCTCTAATAAAAAAATTTATTGCAAAATTTTGGATTAGAGACTTTTTCATATTGCCCTTCCCTAACACTAATGTGCCCTTAAACTAATGCACCAATAGGTTTGTTTTGATTTTCACGTTACACGTAGGAATTGGAACCGCCTAGAATTTCTTTAACGTTTAACCGTTTAATCGTATTAACCGTTTAACTCGGCTGGCATTAAGATAACCTTGGCCCATGATGACCATAATTCGGCCTGAAATTATGGACCAATTTTATCGTTATGCGGTTAAACGGTACTCCATGTATAGTACATTCCTCTGATCGTGTAAGTTACACGATCAGAGGAATGTACTATACCTATATCATGGCGAAAATTAAAATGGCGAAAATTATTTTAGATGTCTAAACCGTAAATAATTTATAATGGCTAGAATAATTCAGGTTGCAAAAATTATTTATATATACAGTCACACCTTCCTAAGTGCATCCCGTCGGGACCATTGTAAAAAAAATCAAAATTTTGCACTTATGGGGCCAACCCATATCTTGCATTTAGAGAGGTTTTACATAGTACTTGTACTTAGGGGGTGCGCACTTAGGGGGTGGCGAAAAATAATAAGTAATCTTTATATTAAATAATCTTAAAAAAATAATTATATTAAATACTAGCTAACTGGCACGTTCTTACGTCCGTGCTTTGAGTTATACTAATGCTAATTATGATATCTGTAACTGACCAATCAGATTATTATAAATTGAACAGACCAATCAATAATTAGTTTTTCTTGAGAAGGGTTAGTTGATTTACCAATTTTTAAAATATCGCATTAAAAATCTTATTATTAGTTGTCCAAAATTAACAAAAAGAGGACATACGTACACTTAAAATTTTAATAATGTAGTTAGGAACTGTGTAAAAAATTCAAAGTCGAAATTAGGTGCGCTTTGCGCACCTAATTTCAACTTTATGTGCGCTTTGCACTTCTATTAATAGTATTTCAAAAATTATGTGAGTTTAGCGCACATTAATTTGAAACATTTGCGAAAATTTCTGTGCGGGATGCGCACTTATATATATTTTTGTAGTGCGCACATTGAATTTTTTTCACTGGTTAGGAGCCACGGGATATTATAAGTTATTATGATGATCATCTGATGACCCAACCCACCCAGATCATCGGGTACTATAAATCGGACAGATAAATAAAAATTTTAATATAGAAATAATATTGGCAGCCAAGAATAACATAGACAGCAATAATAATATGGGCAGTCTATAATAATATAGGCAATCAAAAAAAATTTCGGCACATGACGTTTTGAAACATCATGGCGCCAGACCGTCCGTCTGTCGAAAATCAACCCTAATTTCGACCCACATGCATAACTGTACTTGCGCAAAATTATTTATCTGTTATATATATTAACGAAATATCTTTATTATAATAAATAAATAAATCATATAAATTTAATCTAACTTCCTATTAATTCTTATAATAATTATTCCAAGGTAAAACAGGCATAACAACAGGGCTTAACTTCAAATCTACAATTATCTCGTTACCCGGCGCAAAATTATTTATCTGTTATATATATTAACGAAATATAACTTCCTATTAATTCTCATAATAATTATTCCAAGGTAAAACAGGCATAGCATCAGGGCTTAATTTCATTCTGCTTTTAAATAAAAGCAAATCTTCAATTATCTCGTTACCCGGTGCCAACTCATACTCATCTTTCTTTTCATCCGTGTTTTTCATTTCCATTCTTTCATCTTCTTCCTCATCAAAAATTAGATTTACAATATCTTTACACAATTTATCTAGTATGATTTCCATTTCTTTACTTTCTTCTTGGTCACTATTCATCTCACTAATTTTTTTCAAAAGCAATTTTTTAATCTCAACATCAATTTCCCGAATTTCTTTTCCAGCACATTGAACTTTCAGAATATCAATAGCTCCCTTTAATTCATCCTCTGTAATGCTTTCGAATCCATGAGAAGATACAAGTGCATGTAATTTTTTAATGTCGGTTGAATTAAACCGTTTTAATAATGCAAGATTTTTGGATTTCAAGTGTATTGAAAGTTTTTTATGAACAGGTGAACAATGGTGAATATAGGTTTTGTAGAATTCTAAAAGTTCAGATTTTGTGATTTTACGTAGGTTTGATACATCAATTTCAACTATTTAATTAGTTATTAATGTTAAATAATAAAGTATATGAGAATATTAATTCATATGTATATATTTGTAAATTAAGTAAATGAATATTAATTTGTTAGTTTACCTTTATTAAATTCATAATATCCAGAGCAAATATGGTACCAATATTTATAACTTTCTTCACCTAAATTCTTAGGCTTTTCTAATTTCTTACTAATCAATGAAGCTATTTGTTTTTTATATTCTTCTTCTGACATATCTTCAATTATTGTCTGATCCCCAAGAAAAAAAATATTAAAAGCAGTGTCGGATATTAGTACTGAAATCTAAAAAATATTAAGAGAAAAAACATACCTGTAATTTAATTAAGAATTCCTCGATTCTATTTTCCAAATATATAGGATCTTTTTCACTCTGAATGACAATTCGGAATGCCATCATACCAGTTGTTTCTTCTGTCATGCACCATACCAAATATCCTAATACATTTATAAGGTAAATAACACTTCCAACCAGATTCAAACAAATAATCTATAAAGTCAATTACAAACCCAATTGTTCCTTAGTTCTTAGTTGATCATAAGAAGGTTCTTCAGAAATCTGTCCTAATAATGCCAACTTTGCTCTCAACTCTCTATCCATTTTATCACCAATTTGTACATAATATTCTATAGCACTGTTGATTTCTTTTTCATCTGGTACATCCATACTATAAACAAATTTTTTTCCATCGGGTATACACACACTTCTATTTCCAATCAATTGTGATTTTAAAATTTCTTCAGATGGCTTCAATATATCCTCTAATATTTTAATCATGTCTAATGAATCATCTCGACTCATATTTCCGTGAATAAATCCTTCAAACATTACTTGATCAAATAATGTTGGGTAAAATTTCTGTACATCTTCACATTGAATTTTTTCTAATAATTTACTTTTCTCTTTGTGAGTCCAGAATTGTTGCATAATTGCACAACTTTTATAATACATGGCTTGATAATTTGGTGAATCTAATGAATGATTATCAAATTTTCTTTTTAAATCTTCTTTTACTTTTTGAAATCGATTAGGATCAAATTGAATTGATTTCATTTTTTCAACAATTTTACGAATAAGTAGAGGAGATTTATCATTATAACCTTGAACTGATACAGCTATTCCATCATTATAAATATAAAGGTAATAAATAAGTCCAGCTATCTCTGCATCATATGCATATTCTGTAAATGCATCAATCACAAGTCCAATATATAATCGTGTTTTTACAAAATTTAGAGGTGTAGAATGGACTATTGGGCTATTTTTTTTTTTTTACATAATATATTAAGTATTATTTGTTATATGGTAAATTTAAAAATAATATACATAAACTTACAAATAATAATTTACTTACGTTCTTATTAAGAAATGCGCTTCAACTTTTGGTATCCAAAATGTATCATCCTTTTTATACCAAAGCCGACTCAATGTTGTGTCTTTGATAAGATTTGGACGTGTACATGGCTAATAAGTAAATTAGATAAATTAGATATTAAATTAATTACGTATATTTAAGTATATATAATACTACATATTTTATATGCCAACAAAATAAACATTACAGTGACATTTTCAAGCTTGTTAATTTCAAAGTTTGAAGGAATAAAAATATTTGACGGATGGATCTTAAGATCTGGATGAAGTCCTGGATTTTGGATTGCCTGCGAAAATTTTCAAGAGATTAATCTATCAATTCAAACATAGATAACTTGTTCCGATGTATAATTAATGTAGGCATCTGATTGTAATATGCTGAAATTTGGGCCTCCATTAAATATTTAAGTCTACTAAATTTTAATTAATATATTCCGACGACAAAATCTCGAAATAGATCCAAATTTCAGCATCGGGCAGCGACAAAAAAAAAATACCTTTAAAAGATTTTCGTTAATCTTTTCAAATTTATATTCAGTACTAAACCATTTTTCCTTTTTATCAAATCCTTTTAATAATTTACTAGACAAAGTAATAACACATTTATCCCAACATAAATAATTTAATTCTTCATTGATAAGATTTGGATCATATTCACGAATTAAATGAGGGCTACTCAAAATTAATTCACGAGGATATGGACGTTGCATATACACAGCAAGTTCTGAAGCATAATAAGATGGAGAATATTTTTCTTGAAATTTAAAGTCTATTGATGCAATTGATTGAACCTAATTTTTATTTATTTTTTTTTTTTTATGAATTAATGAGATTTTTAAAAAAGTGAGTTTTGAAAGGAAAAAGAAATATTTAATCGCGTCTTACCTCGCGGAAAATCCATTCCTTTACACCACCTTGTTTTAACATTTCAATATACTGAAAACAAATTATCACAATTTCCTCATAGTGAGCTATAATAAAACATCCATATATATATACGTTAATAATTCATATAAAGGTATATAAAGGTATAAAAATTTTTTTTGAATATACTTTACCTAACCCTTCTTCAGTAAGGTCAATAGATATTTTAAACACCTCAAATCCGACATATTGATGGCTTGAAAAAGCATTCAATCTATTCGCCCATCCTAAGTTTTAGTTTATAAGTTAATAAAAAAATAAAATAAAACAAAAATAAAATAAATTTTGATATTTTACATACCTTTTTTTTTTAACAATGATAAAATTGATCCAACACCTTCATGTCCAATCAAATGACTAATATATCTTGAAGGCTACAAAGTAAAATTTAATATATTATTTTAAAAAATTAATACTGTATAGTATAAAATAACTAAAATATAACATACTTTTGTATTATAATGTGGTTGTTGATCAACAAATGGGAAAGTTATTTCTAAGCCATGATTATCTTTAACAGGTTTCATTGAGATTTGACTCTATTCGCAAAAATATTAGTATTAAACCGACTCTTATAATATTATGGATACAGCTATACAATAATAAATTATTTTACCCCTAATTCTTTCTCAGTAATAGGATAATGGCCTTCAGGAACTGGTATAGGAATCGACTTATTTTTAACTATCGAGAATTTTTCTACAACCCATTCATTTAATTTATCTAAAGGTTCTGTTTACCATTAAAAATACATTAATGTTATTTTTCCAAAAATCTTTATCACAATTTGCTATAATAAGAAAGTCTATTAATTAATGAATTTACCTCTCCCCAAAACGACCAATTTTATTAAATTAGCGGAATAAAATTTATCATGGAATTTTAATAATTCTGTTCTTGCGTTTAATCCAGTTTTTGATGGAATATCTTTTAAACTTTCAAGATTTCCTATCCCGAATTGTGAATATGGATTATTTGGATTTGATAAAGATTTTTCAAGTTGAAATTGCCTCCAACCATCTTCTTGAAGATTAAGTTTATATTCTATTTTATGAAAACTTTAAATATTAATATACTAATACGTATAAAGTTATCACTTTGATATTATTTACCAGAGTCAACAGCTTTTAACTCTCTATCTGTACAATCATCATTGAATAGAGGACAAATAAAAAATTGTGCAAATCTTCAAATAATATAACCAATTATTAATATAATTACATTAATTATTATAAAAATATATCCTGAATTTAAGTTATACCTATCTAAAGCCCCTTCCAAATGTTCATGTCCAACATCAAAATAGTAGTTTGTATTATCAATGCCAGTATATGCATTACATGTTCCATTATGTTTTGTTAGATACTATATTTGAAATTTAAGAAATAATTTATTAGGTTATTTTTTTTATTAATATTTTAATATTTATGGAAACATTAAGGCTTTACCTCGTTATAATCATTTTCTTTGGGATACTAATTAAAAATATTTAAAAAAAAAAAATTAAGATATGTCTATTTTTGATATAATTTTGACAAAAGTTCAAAAACTATAATGTTATATTTAAAATAATATTTTGGCATATCGAATACATATAAACCACATTATAATTTTTAAGTCCGAAGATGAAATATAGTGTAACCCATACTGTTAAAAAAAATTGATTTAATAACCAATTGAGCAAAAAGTAGGTATGAGTATACTAGATTTCATCCTCGAGAAGTAAAATGATTACATACTTTTTCAGTTCCCTAAGAATTTAAAAATTTTAATATAGGCTAGTTAAAAAACCAAATAATTGATTATAAAATAAGAAAATCTCACCATAAACAACAAATGTTCACAAAAATGGGCAAGACCTTGAAGATTTGACTAAAATTTTCCATACAAGTCAAGAATTGAAATAAATAAAACAAAATTGATAAAAAAAAAAAAAATTTTTTTTACCGGATCTGAAATCTGCCCAACATGGACATCTATTGCGGCGCTGCTTTTATCAGTTTCTTTATCTGAAATTAATAAAGCTTCTAATTCGTTAGGTAATATGATTAATCGATATTCTCGATCGTCATTCTCGGATTTTTCGAGTGGAATTGATAGTGTTGCATAAGTTTCGTCCGAAGAAATGATAAAATTAGGAGGTAACTTTTCGAAAGAGATAGACATGATTTTCAATAAATATCTAAAATTAAAATCAAGTACACTTTATATATTTAATTTATATGCGCAGTTAATTCATTTTTTGTATTACATAAATACCTGAAATCCCTTAATTGTCTCATTTAGAACTCAATGCAAAGTAATACAAAATTCCGTTTTTGATGGCTTATTTTTCTGTCGGATCAAACACTTCATGGAGTACGTATAGCGAAGGACAGTCTATATCTGGTCCATAATTGCCTAATTTGGAATAATCCAAAACCATCCCCCTTATTGAACAATTCATCAGAATTCTTCTCTAGAATCTTAAACTTTATTTTTAAACCCACTCAATTTAACATTGAGTCTTCTAAGTTGCATAATATGTGGATTAGCAAATAATTAGAAGTTTTATGATAATTTATAATAAATTTTCACTTTTTTAGAACAGCCATTTTCTAGCACCTAGCGCTAGCTAAATCTCGATAAAAAAATTATACTTAACAATTATTATTGACACTAAATTAAAACTTTCAAAATGTATCTATATTTTTTTTGGTAAGGACCCTCCGTTTTTGGCGCAAAAAGTAGATAAAAACGGTTGCGTTGTATAACCTATATAGTATTTTGTTCGAGACGCTAATATGCTTTTTCTAAATGAAAAATTTTCATAACGCCTAAAAACTAATAATTATTGTGATCTTTTCGGCATTCTCCGAGTGCTCCGACTAAGGTTTGTACACTCTTGATTTTACCGGTTTGATGAATATTTAAAAATACGATCAAATCAAAGTTAACAATAATTCTTTTTATGTTATTTCTAAATACACCTGTTTCCTTTTTCACTTTATATGCCTGGTCCATTAATAGATTTATCGCACTTACTCGGGACCTCGGCACCCTTTATCGTTAAGCAAACTCTACATATTTCTTCTATCCATATGCTCTAAGCCTCATCTTTTACAGCAAAATCTATCAACTGGTCACCATTATCATATACTAATAAACTATGCTTATAGCAAAATTTTCAAACAAACTATTTACCGTTAATACTAAATGAGTCGGCTATAACACTAACCAACCTTTTGTAATACTTGGCGTACTTTATATATATCAACATTAGCTTCGAAAAATGCAATAATCAGTTTTAAATTTATATTGCAATTCAACCCTAACACCCGATCACTGTGTATTCTTACCGTATATAGTGCCGAAAATAAGCACCTGCCCTCTACCCTATTTTTTAAATCTCAGATTTAGCGGGAATAATTTGGCTAAAGATTTCGTTTCTATTTCTGCTAATCTGTAATACAAAAATTAGGGTAGAGGAGGAGGTGCTTATTTTCGGCACTATACGGTATTACTAATAGCTTCTTTAGTAAACTTTTAATGATCTTACTAAAATGGTTTAAACAAACTATGTTTCAATATATTCTGACCATAAAATTTGTGATCATCTTTTAACACTCACCTCAAGATCTATGACGCATATCTTTGTTTAAATTTTAAAGAAGTGGGAATTGTGATATCTTGTGATCTAGTAACCAGGATCGAATGGTACAAAGATCATCCAATCCTGATTACTGGAGAAATATGCGATGCAAAAATTATCTTGTGAGAATTCTGACAAATACAAACGTTATGATAAAGAAAATAACTCTTGATACTATATAAATCGACCTTTGAGCTCTAAATTGTTCGTGCCATCAAAATTACACATACAGTCACACCTCCCTAAGTGCAATTCCTCCAAGTGCAAGTCCCAGCTTATAAGAGTATTATAGATTTTGCATTCCCTACATGCAAACCTTCTCTAAATACAAGTTTTACATTTTTTTACTATGGCCCCAAGAGCATGCACTTAGAGAGGTGTGGGCTGCATTTTGAAATTTTGGTAGATTTTAAATAACTTTTAATTCATTGATTTATAAAATATGTTCTAGAAAAAAGTGTATTTTTACAAATGTCAATAAGTAAAAAAAGTTATTTAAATTTTATCAAAAAATTAAAAATATATATAATTTGATAACGCGAACAACTTTAGTTAGAGCTCAAAGGCCGATTTACATGGTATAAAAGCTACTTCTTTATCACAACGTATGCATTTCGTCTGAATTCCCAAGATAAAGCCGTTTGAATTTAAAAGTTCGTTTAACGTTCCCTCCTCTACCACTGGAGCTCCCCCCCGACATTAAACAAGCCAATAGAAGACGAATATAAAAATATAAATAAATCAAAAAAAACCCTTCAAGCATAAATAAACTCAAATCAGATACAATTTGAACCTAATTTAGATCTAAATTTGGGTCTGTTTAATTTTATTGTTTAATTTTTTCCTCTTTTCTCTTCAAGTAAATATGAAATAAGAAATATTAAACAAATCTTTAAATTCCAACAACCTTATTGATGCTTTATATAATTTATTTGATTATACTTTTAAAAAATAAATAATTCAAATTTGCTACAAACTGTATGCTATGAATTTGCTATAAACCATATACTAAAAAATATATGTTTATTAAATATTTACTGTGCTACCTGCTATGGTCTAAGTTAGAAAATAAATATATCATCTACTATTGTTACATTTGTAATTATATTAGCTTTAATAGAGTCTTAATTTATCTAAGTATAAAGTTACTACAAAACATATGTTACAAATTTGCTATAAACTAGGAACTTCAGTTTTATGTGATGTGATGCAATGTGTATAGTAGGCTAATTTTTAGCATAATGAATACCAAGTATAATTTGACCAGAAAGCATATAATAATATTGGTGCCTGCTAATTGGTCAATTTTTATAGATTATAAAAAATCAAAATCAGCAAATTTTTTTCAAAAAAAAAAATTACTTTGAAATTTTTTTTGTCAGAATGTCTTGTTAAAAACTCTTATATATAAATCAAATTTTTATGCTAGTTGTAGAAAACTTTTTTGTAAAGTATATCAAGTTGTAGTAAACTATAAAAAAAAATTCATGATTGATATTCATTTAAAATTAGATAAACATATGTTTAACTCTAACAAACTTATACAATCAACTTGCTTCAAGTTAGAATTAAGTTTTTCAACAAAGTAATAATATTAAAAAATATTTATTAAAGATTTTCTTTATATAATAGTTCAAGTTGATATATCTATTAAAAAGATAAATTATTTTAAACTATTTTAATGAAATATTACAAAAATAGTAAAGAATAATTATATACAATATATATTTTTTTATTAAATTTTATCTATTTAATTAATATATTTATTTATTTTATAGGTAAAATTATTCTTAGATCTAGTCAACTATGTAGTAAATATCTTCTTCTTTTATATCAAGTAGAAGAAACAAAATTTAAAAATAAATTAATTAATAAAAAAATTTGTATTATAATTGATAAAACTACAGATTCTTGTAGAAGAGCTATAGTTAATATTTTATTTAGTTTTTTCAATAAAACTAAATTGGTAAAAACTAGTTTTTTACAATCTGTTAATTATATTACTATTTTTTAATTAGTTATTTCTGCAATAACTTTTTATAATATTTCTTTTAATAATACAATTTTGTTTATTACAAATAATGCTTCTTATATATTAGTAGCTTTTAGAGTTCTTTCTTCTTTGATTTCTCAATTAAAATATAATACTTGTTTTGTATATATTTTTAATTTAGTAGGTAAAACTTGAATTGAATACAAAAATTTTAAATTTCATGATCATATAGTTAGTTTAATTAAATCAACTTTTACATATTCTCTAGCTAGAAAAAAAAAAGAGTTAGTTTTCTTTATAATTTTGTTTTTTAGTTAAATAAGTATTTTAAGTTTTTTATTAAATTTTATCAAGAAGAAGAAAAAAATAGAACTAGTAATTCTGCTATTTTAGAATTTATTAAAATTTTTGAAAATAATAATAATATTTTTTTTCTTTAATTTATTATACATTTTATTATATTTAATATGCAGTAATAAGTAATTATTTTTATAATAATAATAATTTAAAATTTTTAAAAATTTTTAACAAAAATATTTTGATAACTACTTAATTAAATTTAATAAATTTTTTTTTATTTGATTTTACAAATATGTTGAATTAAAATAAAAAAATTTTCATTAAATTTTATTAAGTAGTTGCTAAGATATTTTTATTTAAAGTTTTTAATTTAATTATTAACTGCTGTTGACCTATAAAACATTAAGGAAAAACACAAAATCCTTAATAACTTTTGATCCACCGGTCCAATTTGGATGAATCACATACCATTAGAATCAGCTCACTGAGGCGGATCTAATGAGCCAAGAATCATTGAAATCCAATCACTGGATCCCGAGATAATCAAGATCTGGCTTTTTATCATAATTCATGTAATCTGATTGGCTGATGACTACTGCGGGAGATGCGTTACATGTAGCATATCTATTACCTATGGTTTTTGAGGTACATTTACCACTTATCATATTTATATTATATATCATATTTATTATATATTTCATACATGTATTAGTTATAGTATATATTTTATTAGTGATAGTTATAGCATATATAGCTCTTATAATATATATAGCCTG